CTTCTCCTTTTCTTCTCACCGCCGCACGCCTTACCCGTAAGACGCGTAAGGCGAGGTTGCACAGGGGATGTCGGGCCGCGCGCCGCAGGTGCACCGAGGGTCGCAGTCGTGGGGCGCAGGCAACGTTCGAGGTCGCCCGCCCCGGCGAGAGGCAGCACCGAGGTTCGGCTGGTGCGGGTGGTTTCGGTCGGGCCCGACGACGAGGGTGGGGGGCTTGGGCCACGGGGGTGCAGCAGCTGCTGCATGCAGCTGGTTTCGGCTCCGCCGCTGGGGCGCTTTCCCGCATGCACTGGTCTCTCCTGCGCCGGGAGGCGCCAGGGAAACCAGCTGCGGGAGCTGACTGATTCGCCAACCCCCTCTTTACTGATCTCCCTCTCGTCCGACTAGACTTCAGCAGGCCCTGCAGCTAGCCTTGCTGGCGTGCCGCACGCCGCACGCGTCAAAGCCCGGAGTCGCAGACTAGCAGATCACCAGGGTCTGATCTATGTTTCGTGATGCACGTGGCCCTGCTCGTTCAGCCTGGATCCTGCTCCTGGTTCTGATGCTGCTCCCTGCTCCCCTTGACGGCTGCCAGAGCGAACAGCACACGTGGCCGCAGACTGGCCTGGCCTGGCGCCTTGCGAGTCTCTCTCCCGCTCTTCCGACGGGGCCACGATCCGTGCGCTGCGCCCCGTGGCGGGCCTGCTGCTCAGAACCTCGCGGCCCCCGCGAGGGGGGGTCCTCGCCCCTGGGCTCGTCGATCGGCGGTCACCAAGGTTGACGGTTTACCGCCGGCTCCCACTTGACAAAAATATCGACGGACGTTTTGCATAATGTTGGTAGTTGAAAAATCGATCTCTCGAAAATTGAACATTCGTTAGAGCTCTCATATGTTTCCTCCATATTCGATCTTATTCCCGCTCGCCATCTTAATCGTGCCGCTGCTCGTGCCCGCCGTCCCGCCTGAGAAACACGCGCATCCCCGAAGCCGCTCACCCTGGTGACCCAGTTCCTGACCGACGACGGCACCGACGACGGACGGCGGCGCCCCTCGCGCGCGGGGAGCGGCGGGGCGGGGCAGGGGCGGGAGCACGGTGCTCTCGCTGCCCTCGTGGAGGTCTGGCGCGCTGCCTCCGCACGCTCCGCGCGCGGGTCCGGCCGTGTGCGTGGGCGCTTCCAGCGTCGCACCAGCTCCTCGAGTGCGCCGTTATGCGGTTAGGCGGGGCCCGAGCTCGGGGGGGCGGGCTCGCAGGGCCGCGCTGTGGGGAGGAGGGTGGGGGGGGGGGCAGAGGGGAGGGAGAGATGGGGGGAAGGGATGGAGGGCAGAAAGGGGGAGGTGTCGAAAGGCCTTCGGCCCATCCCGCCACCGTGCTTGGCCTGCGGTTGCTTCGCGTGGAGTCCGGTGCTGCAGAGGGGTGCAACGAAAGCAACGATAAAGCATTGTTGAGCTACCCCGCGAAATCCACGGCACCCTGGGTACGTTTTCAAGGCCTCTTGAAAGCTTCTTGTTGTTCGGGACCTCTAGGGAGCCTCTTGGAGGCAGTTTGGGAGCTTCCTGGGGCGTAGTGGGGCGGTTTCGGAGCCTCTTGGAGTCTCTTTTGGGTCTCTTGAAGGCGTCGGGTGGCCTCCCGGAGCCGTATTGAGCGCGTTGGCGGTCTCTCGGGGCCCCTCAGGGCGGACAACTCAAAATTTTAGTTCGTGTCCCCCCTCCTGGGCACCTCTTGGGCTCTCTTGGGCGCCTCTTGGGCCGTCTTGAGGTCCTCTTGGGCCGTATTGGGGCTCTGGTGGGGCCTCTTTGGGTGATTTTTTGGGCGATTGTTTGGGCGTTGTTGTGGACGCTGTGCTGGCCCAAAAATCGGACCTGCAAAAAATATACGTTTTACTATGAGGATTCGAGCCCTCTTTGGGGTGCTCTTGGGGCTTCCTTGGAGCGTCCTTGGGGTCTCTTTGCCCTTCTTGAGGCCATCGTGGGCGTCTGGTAGCGACCGTTGGCAGGCTTGGGGACCTCTTGCACCGTTTTGGGGGCTCCCTGGGGCCATCTGGGCTCGTTTTGGGGCACTCCTGGGCGAGGTTGCCGCTCCGGAGGCCCACGCGGAACGCCCGGGCATTCATTTACGCCCAGAAGCGCTTCCTCCTCCTCCTCCTCCTCCTCCTCCTCCTCCTCCTCCTCCTCCTCCTGGTCGTCCCAGTGTGACCCACTTGCGCGCCGTTCCCGTTTGTGGTGCCCTGGGCCCCCAGCGCACAAGTACAGCTTCTCACTGGTAGCCGACTGCAGTGGCCCGGCGTGCAGCCAAGGCCCAGGCTCTTCTTGAAGCCAGCGTTCATGCCCACGCACCGATTGGTGTATGGTTTGTCAGTCAGTCCAGCACTTCGGAAACCGGGGCTCCAGGCCCTCAAGAATCTGGAAGCCCTCCACCTCTCAGGGCTGCATGGTCCTCAGCCGGCACTCCCGCTTCGTGCTGGAGGCACGGCGGGGGAGTCAAGTGCGGAGAGCTGGGGGGGGCGGGCGCGGCAGGAGGGAGGGGGGAGGGAGGGGCGGCGGCGCAGCTGATGGGCTTGTTTTCCACCACCACCACCATAAGTTGGAGGGGGGAAGGAGGTGGAGGACGAGGAGGAGGAGGAGGACAAGGAGGAGGACGAGGAGGAGGAGGAAGAGGAGGAGGAGGAGGAGGAGGAGGACCCCCTCGCCCTCCAACTTATGGTGGTGGTGGTGGAAAACAAGCCCATCAAGCAAGGGTTCTGCCTCCCGCCTCTGTCCCGCTGGGCCGCGCAGGACAGCTTGTGGAGATCCGCCGGATCTGGCTGCAGGACGGCAGTATCGTGAGGAACTCGGACGCAGGCGCGCGAGCCCCACGCCATCGGCCACGACGACGACGAGCCGCAGAAGGTCTTTCAAGTGACCGTCCCAGTGTTGTTTTCGGTCCCACTCCGTCGATGATAAGCCGCGCAGAGAAGCAGTAGTGCCCATCATGAAAAGGTGGATTCGTTACAGACCTTCCGAGGGTCAGGACAACCTGCAGGACGAGAAGAGGGGTCAAGGACAGGGGAGCACGATTTGGCTTGGCCAGCCACGTTGGCACGATGTGTCACGCGAGGTGATCGCTCCGGGTCTCTCTACCACCAGCCGCGTCGCCCCGGGCTGGTCAGACATCCCCGTCGCCATGCACCATGTCAAAAGACGGGGAGGAATGGGGGAGGCCGGGAAGGGATGGGTCTGGGGGGGGAGGAGGAGCAGGAGAAAGAGGAGGAGGAGGATGATGAGGAGGAGGAGGAGGAGAAGGAGGAGGAGGAGGAGGGGTCAAGGTGAAGTTCCTTGCCGAGCAGGCACGCTGGCCCGAGCCGAGAGTCGGGCACGTCGACGAGGGGCCACTGGAGGCCGAAGACGCCTGGAGACATGCCGCCGCGATTCGCGCAGGACGCGAGGGTCGGCGGTGCGCCGAGGGGGGGAGGGCAGAGAGGCGGGCCTTCCCAGAAGGCTCAGAAGGGGTGTCCAGGAGGCTCAGAGCTTTGTGGGCCCCGGAGACGGCAGGGCCGTTTTGTTCACGGTTTCGGAGACGGCAAGAAAACGGCGACCGGAAACGGCAACAAAAACGGCTCCAGGATCGGAACTGGAGCCGGAACCGGTCAAAAAACGGCGACGGAACCGGCAAACAAACGGCGTCGGAACCGGCAACAAAAACGGCAAAACGGAACCGGTAAAAAAGCAGCCCTGTCGTTTCCAAGACCCACTAAGGTCCAGGAGGCTCAGAGCCGAGCATTTCTATGGGGGGAGGGCAAAAGCTCACATGGATCTCACCCCGAGCCCTCCTCCCGAAGAACAAATTCTCAGCAGAGGGACTGCGCAGGAGTCGCGCCGCCTTGTCAGCAGGCCTGCCCCCTCTCCACTTCCCCCCCCCTCTCTCGGCGCACCGCCGAGCGAGGAGGTGCTGGCCTTCGGGTCGTGGCTCGGGTCTCTACAGGAGGTCCCTCGGGGCGATCCAGACACACACTCGGGCAGCCTCGGAGCGCATCCCGAGGCTGGGAAGCCGCCGAGAGCCGACGACGTCGCTGCACAGCCTCGAGCCTCGAGCCAGAAATGTTCTCCTTTCGGCGCGCCGTCGAGAGGTGGGTTTGGCCCCCTACCCCCCTCGCCTCGGTACGACCGAGGTGGGTACTGATAACATCGGGGCGATGGCTGACATCAGTTCCTGCTCATTTTGAGCCAGGCTCGCTGTCGGTACCGCCGCGGGCTGGCTTGGTAGTCCATTTGAGGCAGCAGGTTGCCTGCCCAACAGCGGCCGCTGCTGTTTTGGGGCAGCATGTCCAGTTGGGCACCGATTCGATTCGATTCCAATATTCCGACGATCCGATGCGGCCCGATTTTTTGCATGGCGCATTTGCACATCCTGGCGCAGCCGATCCGACTCGATTCCGATCCCGTTTCGATGTAGCCCGATTCGACGCACATCTCGCTTCGGTCCGACTCACAGATTCGATGGTGTCTGACCCTACCATCCCCAGCGGCCGCTGTTGGCTCAGAGCAGAATCTACTGTCGGACATCGTGCCCATCTGTTCCGTGCCCGTGCCGGGCGTCCACGCCACGTGCGAGCGACGGAACAGATAGGGCGGATTGCGCCGACATTCACTCGGAAGTTTTCTGCGTGACGCCGCGCGTAAGCACCCTCGTTTCCAGTGTAGCGTGCCGCGCTGGCGGCCCGCGTAAGCCACCGCACAAGGTCGTTACGGTCGGGAGCTTCGGCGTGCCGTGTCGCGCCGCCGGTTTTGGCTCACTACCCTGCGGAACGACATGCTACTCAGGTCCCAGTCCCTGAGCGTCAGCTTCTCGAGTTGTCCCCGGCCCCCCACCCCGCGGAGCGGAGCGAGGCGCTCTCCGCTCGCAGGGCATGGCGTGCCGTCGGGGCCGCCGCGACACGCCGGACCAAGCAGTTTTTGATCGTGTGCCATCTTGCGCAGAGCTCGCTCCTTCTCGTCGCGCACCTGCCCGCCGCGAGACCGCAGCAGCTTCCCGGGCCCCCGCTCTCGCGGCGCCCCGGGAAGGCGGGCGGCGCGCTCGAGCGCGGGCGCCCGCGCCCATGGCGGCGGCGGCGCTCGCTCGCCACAGGCCGCAGGCGGCCGCCGAGGGCTCCGCGGCTGCCGCGCGTGGCGAGGACGCGGGCGGGCTCCTCCCAGGCCGTAGGCCTTCGTAGCTCCGGAGGGTGGGGGTGCAGAGGATGATGGTGGGGGCTCTGAGGATGGGGATGGTGTTGATGGTGGCTGATGCGAGTACTGATGACGATGAGGATGAGGTTGAGGATGGTGATGGTGATGATGATGATCGTGATGTTGCTGATGATGATCATGCTGATTATGATGATCATAATGCTGATGATGATAAATAAGGTTGATGAAGATGATGGGGATGCTCATGATGCTGATGATGCTGATTGTGATACTGGTAATGACGATGATGATGATGATGGTGATGCGGATGATGGTGATCATGATGATGCTGATGTTGATTATGATGATGCTGGCGATGCTGATGATGATGCTTATACTGATGCTGATGCTGATGCTGCTCATGCTGATGGTGATGATGTTGATGAACATGATGGGGATGATGATGAAGACGACGACGATGATGATGATGATGATGATAATGATGATGATGATAATGATGATGATGATGATGATGAAGATGATGATGATGATGATGATGATGATGAGGATGAGGATGAGGATGATGATGATGATGATGATGATCATGACGATGATGATGATCATGATGATCATGGTGATAATGCTGCTGAACATGATGAGTATGAGGATGACGGTGCTGATGGTGATGATGGTGATGATGATGGTGAAGGTGAAAGTGATGGTGATGGTGATGATGTTTTTTTGTTAGCTTCTAATGGTGTGCTGCTGCGCGTGGCTTGGCGCAGCCTGACAGAAAGACAGTCGGCTGGGCCAGAAGGGGAAGAGGTCTTGCTACACTTCCCTGGTCACCACGTCGGGATTCGCCTCAAGATACGGGTCAGAACCCGCCCCGGGAGAAGTACGCGGAGTAGCCGTACTGGTGTTGCTTGTTCCCCCCGGGAATGAGTCCGGAAAGAGTGGAGACGAAGGCGGACAGCGATACTTGTCCATTTTGTGCAGGGCTCGCTGTCGATGTTGCCGCAGGCGCCGTCTGCCCAACGGCGTCCGCTGTCGTTTCTGGATAACGTTCGCTGTTTGGCATCGTGCCCATTTTTGCGTACCCATTTCGGGCGTCCAAAGAGGCGAACTTTCTGGGCATCAGCCCATCTCGAGGCCGATCTCGCTGATTTCCCCAGTTTCTGAGAGCACGTCTCTACGATTGTTGCCCCCGTGCGCCTGACAATCTGATAGGGACGAGCGAAGCTTTCATTGCCCAAGCGGGTCGAGGAGCAAAAAGACAGCCTTGCGGCAGAGGACCCCACACACCCAGACAGCTTCACACAGCCACGATGGGCGGCCGACGATGGGGGGCCACGCTGGCCCCACACGATGGGTCACCGATTCCGAGGGCCCAGGCTTCCTCACCGGGCGTCAGAACAGTTGCACCGCGACTTGACAAACAAGCTGTTCAGGAGCGAGGTATACAGGCGGCCACTTGCGGAGGTCCGCGCGGATTTCGCGGGTCGGCGCTGGGCCCACCTCCCCCCCCGCCAGCGGCTTTGCCTCCCGCGCCGCGGCGCCGCCCTTTACCAGTTTGAAATATATCCCTATTCCTATGTTCGACATTACCTCACCTCGATGCCGATCTTGAGGATTCCCTCCGTTTCTGAGGGCCTATCCCTAAGATGGTCCTCGCTTTTTGCCCGCCCATCTTAGGGATAGGGATACCTTCCAGGCCGGTTAGCCCCCGGCGCACTCCGCGCTGTGGAGGGAGGTCGTGGGGCGGGGCGGCCCCCTGCCGACCTCCCCGGGGAAAGAGCAGCACGGGCCCGCCGAGAGTGGCTGCGGACGGCACGGCGGGTTCTGCGGAGGCTGGTGGTGTCTGCACGGTCAGAAGGCGCGCCCCTGCACGCCGCTGTCCCGGGGCCGCTCCCTTTCCGCCTCCCTTTTTCCCCCGTGCGCAGGTGTGCGCTCCCGCTCGGAGGAGCAGTGGGTCGATCGTGCGAGTGGACGTGGGCGGCACTGCCTGTGCTGGTGCGGTCGTTGGTGTATACACGGTGTGACTGCGCGCCTCTCCACCCCTCGGAGGTTGATAGACCTCCTACCCTGACACGCCGACATGGGTGGTTTATTGAAGGGTGGTTCGTCCACTGCCGAACCCTGCACTCCCCCGAGGCCGCCCCCGTTCCGCCTCTCCTCTCCGCCCCCGGGGTGCGCGCCCGCTCAGAGGCAGAGTGCTCCGAGGAGGAGGAGGAGGCGGAGGAGGAGGAGGAGGAGGAGGAGGAAAAGGAGGAGGAGGAGGAGGAGGAGGAGGAGATGGTGGTGCCCTCCTGGAGCTCCTCCCGTGCCACGCGGGCTGCCGAGGCCGCGGCCGCCCGACGCTCCGGCGTGCTCGGGGCGTGTCCCAGTCCAAGCTCAGCATGAGCGTGTGCGCGCCCTGTCCCCGGCCCGGCCTCCGCTGCGACCGAACAGCTCTTTCCTGGTTGACGGTGGTGGTGAGGATGCTGCTGCTGCTGCTGCTGAAGCTGCTGCTGCTGCTGCTGCTGCTGCTGCTGCTGATGATGATGATGATGATGATGATGATGATGATGATGATGATGCTGATGATGATGATGATGATGATGATGGCGAGGAGGAGGAGGAGGAGGAGGAGGAGCAGGAGGAGGATTAGTATGATGATGATGCTGATGATGATGATGATGGTGGTGGTGGTGATGATGATCATGATGATGATGAGGAGGAGGATGATGATGATGATGGGGATGCGATGATGATGCTGATGATGTGGATGATGGTGATGATGCTGAGTTGGGCGACTGTGATGCGATGCTGATGGTTCTGATGATGATGCTGATGCTAGTTCGATGCTGAGTAGGTAGTGATGTTGATGTTGATTCGAGGATGGCGCAGTTGTTGCTGATGATGATGATCTTGATGATGGTGGTGATGATGATGTTGCTGATGATGATATGATGGTGGAGGTGATGATGTTGATGATGATGGTGTTGCTGCTGATGATGACGATGATGATCATGATGATGATGATGATGACGACGATGCTGATGATAAACATGATGACGACGATGATGATGGTGGTGACGGCGATGATGATGATGATGCTGCTGATGATGATGATTCTTCTCACGTTGACGTCCTCCCGCCCTCGTGGCCCACTGGGAGTCGGGTGGACCCTCCCTCTGCGAGCCAGGGCTCGACGAGGTTTTCGGGGCGGCCGTGCCGATGCTGGGGCTGGCCTCGTCTTCTCTCGAACTGTCTCTTCCTCTTACTCCCCTTCCCCTCCCTCTGTCCATATGTCTGTCTGTCTTTCTCCGCCTGGCTCTCTGCCTGTCTCCTCCTCTCACTCCCCCCTCTGCCTCTCTGCCTCTCTGTCTCTCTGTCTCTTTCTCTATCTTTCCTTCTTTCTTTCTCTCTCTCTCTCTCTCTCTCTCCCTCTGCCTCTCTCTCTCTCTCTTTTTTACCGCCCCTCCCAAGTGGCTCGAACAAAATCATCTCTCTGCGGACCCTGCCGGCACCCAGCTGCTGTCCATGACAGGATCGCCTGCGCTCCCCGCTAAAAAAAGCAAAGGCGACAGGATGGCGCACGCCCAGCATTGCCCCCGATCCCTCCAGGACCACGAGCTGCAGAAAAGCACAGCAGGACCGCGCGAACGTCGGGCCTCACCCGTTCAGCAGCGTGCGGCTCGGCACCTGGCGAGGGCACGGATCTCGAGGGTGCGCGCACCAGACCGCCTGCCTGCCTCCCCCCCCCCGGGCATGTGCTGACGAAGGCACGCGGAGGGCTCGTTGGTTCGTGGTCTGCTTCCCCTGCCTTGCGGCTCCGCATGGCGCGCGCCGCGCCATGCGTGGGCGCACTTGGCGCACCCGGCGCGCCCGGCACGCCCGGCGCGCCTGGCGCGCCTGCCTCTCCAGGCGCACCTGACGTCCACACGGCTTGTCCGCGGCTGGCCACAGCACGGCGATGGCCGTCCAGGCCGAGCATCGGGTGCTCTTTGCGTGTGGGGAGGGCGGCGTGGTGTGAGCGAGACAGGGCGCCCACCACGTTGGCGCCTGCGCCAGCAGCAGGGCTGGCGCCGCCGCCGCGCCTTCGTGAAAGAGACGTGCGCCTGAGGTGCTTCCCTTGCTCCTTCTCTCCCTCCTTCCCCGCTTGATGTTGTTCATCAGCCGCGTCCACATGTGGTCGTGCCGCCAGCTCAAAAGTGTGGGCGAGGCCGCTGGGGTTTTATCACCCTTAATTAACCGTTGCTCCCACCCTGCCGAAATATCGCAGGAAATCTGGCGCTGCGATACACCGTGGATGCCACCAGACGCGCGGCATTTACGTGGCTCCATCGACGTCAACGGGATAACGACCTGTGTCCATGCCGGGTTTCGGGTGTTCAGTAATGAGGCGGGGGGCACGCGAGAATCGGCTAGACAGCTTGTGGCTGTGCGTTGGGGTTCCCAGAAGGGAACGTGCGTTTGACGCGGATGAGGTTTCACACCGAGACGCCTAGAGACTACATTGGGAGGAAGAGGGGGTACTTCAACTTCTTCCCTTGACCAAGATCCTCGTTCCCTGGTTGTAGATTTTTCTGCTCTGGCACCTCGCCGGCCGGTGGCCCCTTCGGCCCGTGCGTTCCAGCCGATTCGAACAAAAAAAGCAACGCAGCGTCCGCGGTGATCTTTTCGCTTGTGCGGTCTTCGCCGCGGCCGCGACCCTCGGGCCTCTTATCGCCCGATGCAGCCGGGGGTGGACAGAGCCCCCACCCGGACACGTCGATTCGTGAATTGTCCGTTTCCGGTTCTCGAGAGTGCGAGGGCGCCGCGGCCGTCATTTTTCAGGCTCGCGCACGCCAGGTTTGGGCCCGATGTCGTTTTCACTAAACCTTGAGTCGGGCTTGTCCCTACACAGGAGGATGGGACGATGTTTCGATCGTCGTTGTAGTACGTTTGAATATTTTGTGAGCATGTTCGATGTTTTGTCCAAATCCGCCTGTAGAAGGACATGTCCGATCTACAGTCAACCAGATTAGTAAGGATGCGCGATAAGGATCTAAGGGCCTTGGACGCCCATTTCGAAGCTTTTGGAGCGGGGCGCGGCAAGCGAAAGCGGCGAAGGATGGACCCAGGAGAGGAGCATGCACGGGTACCCTTGGGAAGGTTGCCCATCCTTACTATGCGGGTTGACTCTAATCTTGTGACGCCGGATCTCAGGGAAGAGAGGGGCCCATCGTCCACCGTTCGGCGACTACAATCGGTGCGGTTACGCCCGGGTGCGGTTTGCGAGTTGCTTTGTGGCGGCCTTTCCGGGGCCTTTGTGAGAGACAATGTAATATTTGTCGTCGTTTCGAGCGACACTGTCATCCTCGATGTGTCACTGCACCAGAAGGAGCAACAGTGTCATGTGATTCGGTCGCATTGAGTGACAGTGTCATCCGTTTCCCGGGGGCGGGAGGGGCAGATATGACGGGAGGCAAACCGCACCCTTCGCAACCCGCACCCGTTGTAGTCGCCGAACCGCATCGACAGTCTCGGGGAGGCGCGTCGAATCCCATGGGCTCCCCCTTCGGGAGGATGGAGCGGAAGGAGGAGGAGGAGGAGGAGGAGGAGGAGGACGAGGAGGGGGAGGAGGAGGAGGAGGAGGAGGAGGAGGAGGAGGAGGAGGAGGAGGAGGAGGAGGAGGGGGAGGAGGAGGTGGCGTGAGGGGGAGGGGAGGGGGGGAAGAGGAACGACCCCGAGACCGCGTCTGACCACATCGGGGGCCCCGCCCGTGCCCGAGGTGGGGCCGAGCGGTGCCTGCGCCGCAGCGCCGCGCTGACGGCCTGTCCGGCAAGCTCCGCCCCCGCCCCCTGCCTGCGGTGCGGTGCCCGCGCTGTCGTCGGGGGCCTGGCCAGCCGCGCGCGGGCGCGCCCCGTTGGCAGGGCTCGCTTCGATCCCTCGGGCTCGATCCGATGCGGTTCGAATCGGTTCCGATGGCTCTCGATGGGAGCGATGGCCTCGATGGCTTTCGATGCCGATCCGACTCGGTTTCGATGCGATCCTGATTCGATGCAACGGCTTTCGATTTCGATGGCTTTCGATTCGATCTCATTTCGATGGCTTCCGGTTCCGATTCGATGTCGATGGCGTCCGATGGGAGCGCGTTCCAGTCCCTTTGCAGTCGGGCATGTCCCTCTGCAGGAGGAGAACTCAAAAAGTGGTCAACAAAATAGCTATGGGACGGTGTGTCGGCTATTTCTGGGTCAAGTCTGACAACTTGTCAGTTTTCCTCCAACATCAGCTTAGAGGAGGACATACCCGACCTAGTTAAGTCTACAGTGGAAACCCGTGCCAAGAAGCACCCTGCTTGCCTCAAGGGTGCCCTGGGTTTCTTGGGCTTCGACTGTTTTGCTGTGGAGAGCGTGGCGTCCTCACACCAAGAGCCACAGGACGTTTTGGGGGTCTCAGGGCTGGGTTTCTTGTGGCTGGTCTCTGGTGGTCGAGCTCCCACTGTAGCAATGGGTGCCCCCATCGAGTGACCTCCGGCTCGTGCCCCCACCGAGCTCGAGGCCACCTTGGACCATCGCGGAGGCCTCTTGGGGCCCTCTCGGCGCTTCTCTGGGCCCTCCGAGGCCCGACGCCCCGGGCGCGCCCGGAGCCGCGGGAGCCTTGAGGATTTCGGGTCCCGGCCTTTCAAAAAAGATCCGCAGGGTAGAGTCGGGGGCGGAAGGGAGGTGATGACTAGGGAGGGGGGGATATCATGGCGTGGGCCATGATATTTCCCCAGATGTCATGGCGCCTCTTCTTATTTCAATTTCAATACGTCCCTGCCCCCCCCCGCTGGGCCGCGCACGTGCCGCCCGTCATGATGTGCACCCCCCCCTCTTGGACGCCCCCCTCGTGGCCGCTCCCGATAGGACTGGGGCTCAGGGCAGGGGACCTGAGGGCACTCCAGCTCGTGCCTCGCGGGGTCCGACGGCTCGCTCCGACCCAGCCAGCTCGACGCAGCCCTCACTCCTGCGGAGGCTTTCGCGCCCTGCCCCCCCCCCCCTCCCTGGCCGCTCCTCCTCCTCCTCCTCATCCTCCTTTCCTCCTCCTCCTCCTCCTCCTGCCTCTCCCCCTCTGTCTGCCCTTTCCCCTCCACCACCTCCCCTCCCTTTGTGGGTGGGGGGGGTGGGGGGGCGCCCTGATTCCAGACCCCACCCAACCCCCGCGCGCGGGATCGCTCGCTCGAGGGAGGAGGGAGGAGTGAGAGGAGGGAGGAGGAGGAGGAGGAAGAGCGGAGGGAGAAGGAAGGGGGCGGCGTTCCGCGTGGGCATCTCGCTATTTGGGCTGCTGCTTGCTGCCGAGGTGAGGGCGCCGTCCCCAGCTCCCCCCCTCCGCCCCCCTCCCCTCTCATTCCTTCCCCTCCGAATTGCCTGACTCTGTCGTTCCTCCTCCTCCACCATCATCTTCATCAGCATCATCAATCTTCATCAGTATCATCATCATCAACATCATCATCAACATCATCATCATCATCATCATCATCATCACCATCTTCATCACCATCTTCATCATCCCCATCATTATTCTAGCGCCAGGGTATGTCCAACCAAAATCCTACTGGACACCCCGGACCACTTCGGCAGTGGCCGTCTCGTGTCGTCAGCAGTTTCACCTTCAACATCAAATACCTCTAGCTCTGAATTGGCGCTTGGTCATTTGGCTTGATCGCGGGACGTGGCGGGACCTCTCTCCTCTTCCCGCGCTCACTTATATCATCATCGTCACCAGCATCATCATCATCATCAGCATCATCACCACGTCATCAGCATCGTCAATGTTATCGCCGTCATCATCAGAATCATCAGCATCAGCATCATCATCGTCGTCGTCAACATCGTCAGAATCGTCATCAGCATCATCCTCATCATCATCCTCCTCACCATCATAGTATTCATCGTCAGCATCATCCTCATCATCATCACCACCATCAGCATCATCAGCATCAGCATCATCAGCATCAGCATCATCATCGTTACCACCACCACCACCATAATCATCATCAGCATCATCATCACCATCACAATCACCATCAACATCATCAGCATCATCACATTCATCAACATGATCAACATCATCGTCAACGGTATCGTCATCGTCATAACCGTCGCCATCCTCGTCATCGTCCTCGTCATGAGCATTATCATCATAATCATCATCATCATCATCATCATCATCATCATGATCATCATCATCATCATCATCATCATCATCATCATCGGCACCGTCATCGCCATCATCGGTTTCACCACAATCGTCATCATCAGCAGCATCATAATCATCACCATCCCCAGCATCATCATCGCCACCATCAGCATCCCCATCAGCATCACCATCATCATTATCACCATCATCATCACCATCATCGTCATCGTCACCACCAACCTAATCATCCTCGTCTCCATCACCATACGCATCTTAAGCATCGTCCTCGTCATCAGCATCATTATCCAAGTCCGTATACTACTCATAATCATCAGCAGCACCATCATCGTATTGTTTAGCCTGCTCATCATTCTCCCCATCATCACCATCAGCATCATCGTCATCGCCATCACCCGCATCCTCTTTATATTTACCATCATCACCACCACTATCATCACCATCATCACCCTCAGCATCAGCATCAGCATCATCGTCATCATCATCAGCATCATGAACATCATGATCAGCAGCACCACCATCATCATCATCATCATCATCATCATCATCATCATCATCATCATCAGCATCATCATCATCATCATCATCATCATCATCATGTCATCTTCCTCACCAGCCTCACCATCATCATCATCGTCATCATCATCATCATCAACACTCTTATCCGCTTCCTCGGCGGCGGCGTGACCGACGCCCCCTTGCCACAGGACGCCTCAGACGCTGCCTCCGAAGAGCTCCGTGACAGCTTGCTGCGCAGCAGGCCCCCCTCACATGCTTGGGGGGACGAGGACGAGGACGAGATGAAGAAGGGGATGGAGGTTGAGGAGATAGGAGGAACATGTACCGATACCATTGCCCCTTTTTTCGCCTTTTGGTCCTCCTGGGAGGCCCTCGTCGCCACAGCTGGATTCTCTTCGATTTTCTGCTTGCAATGCACCCCGGCTGATGTATGGGGAGCAGCGGTGTCGGTAGTTGCTGGTTTCCCCCCAGGGGAAGAGGAACACGAGGAGGAGGAGGAGTAGGGCAACGAGTGGGAGTAGGAGGAGGAGGAGGAGGAGGAGCAGGAGCAGGAGCAGGAGCAGGAGGAGAACACAGGGCACGCTTGTGTGGAACAGGCCAGACGCTGGAGCAGGGATGTGGCTAAGTCCTGCTGCTCTTCTGGTCGGTGCTATGCGCTCTCCTTGGCAAAATTATCGTCCTTGGAGGGGGGGCGAGGGCACGTGTGGTTGCTGCGGCGAGAGGGAGCGGCGAGGCGGGCTGGTCCTGCAGAAAGGTGGCTGGTGCCCTGCCGTGCGAGCGGAGTGAAGGCGTCGGTCTGGATGGTGTGGAGTAGCATGGCAATCCTCTTGTCTTTCTTCCTCGTGGTCTTGTGCTCCTCTCCTCCCCTGCTGTTTTCTCCATGCTGGCGCGCACGTTGTTTCCATCGCCGTTTAGGGCTGTCGAGTCTGTGGCACGCCGCGCCCAGAAACATGGCATCGTGCCACATCCTGTTGTGTAGCACTGCTTCCAGAAATGGGGCGATGTGCTCTCAGGAAACGGGGGCGATGGGTTCGTGGCTGCCGGGAGTGGGTGTATTGGTGGTGGTGGTGGCGGGGGGTGTGAGGGGGTGGACGCGAGGTTGCCGTGTCGGGGGCGGTGGCGTGCCGCGCTGCGGAGGTAATGACGTCCGAGATCCAGGCACAGGGCGCAAGCTAATAGATGCAGGGCAGAGCCGGCTGGTCGGCAGCCTGATGGCTGTGGCGGGTAGCTTCACAATTTCCTTTGGCAGTCCTTTTTGATCCATCAGATCAGGCGCGATTGCTACCCCTGAGGGCTTGCTGAAAAGGGGGCGTCGGATTTCGGACATCTGCGCGCACAAGTGAATGTATAATGCCAGCGTCGGAGTAGTGTGGTCCATACTATGTCTGACGAGCCTTGTGCCACTTTCCTTTTCCTCCTTGTTCTTTTTCACCTCCTCCTCTGTACCATCCTTCTGCTGTTGCTCCTCCATCTCCTCCTGCTTCTGTTCCCGCTGCAACTGCAACTGATGCCCCAGAGCGGAGTATTTTTGCAAGGTCGTGTTCGGATCACTTGACACTTGGTCCATCTTTGATCGCGTTGTTATCTCGAAATTCCTGCATTCGCGTCCAACATTATTGCGTAACCCCTTTGCGCTGGTAGGTCGAGTGTTCTGGTCATCCTCTTCCGGTCTCGGTTCTTCTCTCTCCGAGTGGGCCTATCCGCTTCTATTGGAGGCGTCGCTGTGATCGGGATTCGGAGGCAAGTCCAGCCGCAACGGGTGCCCCTCCCTCCTCCTCCTCCTCCTCCTCCTCCTCCTCCTCCTCCTCCCCCCCCTCCTCCTCCTCCTCCTCCCCCCTCCTCCTCCCCCTCCCCACCTCCTCCTCCTCCTCCTCCTCCTTCCTCCCTCCTCCTCCTCCTCCTCCTCCTCCTCTCCCTCCTCTCCTCCTCCTCCTCCTCCTCCTCCTCCTCCTCCTCCTCTTCCTCCTCCTCCTCCTCCTCCTTCTCTCCCCCCAGGTTCCCCCCCCACACGCGAAGCATCTAAGGGATCCCATTCTCCCAACATTCTGGCCACCTCCCCCCCCCGTCCCTGCTGCTGATTCTGCTGCTGCGGCTCCTCGTCCCTGCTGATGATCCTGCTGCTGTTGCTGACCCCGCGCGCGTGGGAGGGCAAGCGTGCGGCGGCGGTCGACGGATACGTAGGAGGGAGGAGGAGCAGGAGCAGGAGGAAATGAGGAGAGGGAGGAGGAGCAGGAGGAGGAGGAGGAGGAGGAGGTGGTGATGGTGGTACTGAGCTCATGGTTTCTTTGCAATTCTGCAGCAAGTGCCCTTCGTCCGCCGTGCGCTGTCAAGATGAAACACCCTCAAGTTTATTTGAAGTGGTCCCCCCCCTCGCGACTGGTTATCAAATTGGGTTGAGGAGCCCGACGGAACCAGTCCATGGAGAGATTCCAGTGATTCTTGCACAGCGGCACAAGGTCCCAGGAGCGAGAAGCCGGGCATCCCGGCTCACCCGCACGGGAGCGGGGACGGAGACACGGAGGACAGGGCGAAGGGACAGGGGAGGGGAGGAGGACAGAGAGAGAGGGGGCAAGGCGAAGGGACAGGCAAGGACACGCGGAGGACAGGGCGAAGGGACAGGGGAGGGCACGGAGGACGCGGGGCGGCGGCAAAGGACGCCCGGAGGACGGCGGGAGAAGGGAGGCAACGAGGCAGGCGGAGAGCCACCGCTCTCGCAGCCTCGGGCACGGCCTCCTCCTCCTCCTCCTCCTCCTCCTCCTTCTCCTCCTCCTCCTCCTCCTCCTCCTCCTCCTCCTCCTCCCCCTCTCCCTCCTCTCCCCCTCCTCCTCCTCCTCCTCCTCCTCCTCCCCTCCTCCTCCCCCTCCTCCTCTCTCTCCTTCCTCCTCCTCTCTCCCTCCTCCTCCTCCTCCTCCTCCTCCTCCTCCTCCTCCTCCTCCTCCTCCTCTCCTCCTCCTCCTCCTCCCTCCTCCTCCTCCTCCTCCTCCTCCTCCCCTCCTCCTCCTCCCTCTCTCCTCCTCCTCTCCTCCTCCTCCTCCTCCTCCCCCCTCCTCCTCCTCCTCCTCCTCCTCCTCCTCCCTCCTCCCCTCCTCCTCCCCTCCTCCTCCTCCCTCCTCCTCCTCTTCCTCCTCCTCCTCTACCTTCACCCTTGGTGTCACGGGGCCTGCGCTTGGCTACTGGCTCGGGTGGTGTCCCAACGCCGTAGGTCGCAAGACATGGGAGACTGGGCCTTGTGTACCCCCGCAGTGTTGTCTTTCGCGTCGATTAGCGTCCACTGACGTCTGGGGGTCGATCCGATTTGGCGCCGGCTAGCGTCCATTTAGCGTGCATTTAGCGTCGAATGCCGTCGACCAGCGTCGACTCGCAAGAGCCGACAGCATGGTATGGGAAGCTCCCATGAGTTGCCACCGAACTTTACCCTTGGAGCTGCGGGGCCAGCGCTTAGCTACTGGCTCGGGTGCTGTCCAGACTCCAAACAGCCTCACACGCCCCCCTCTCCGTCAAGCTCTGCTTCGGGCTCGTCGCGTCTGAGCGCACAGGGGTCGACCCCAGCGTTGCTTTGGCGATTTCCATGGGCCGTTTTCGTTTCGAGTTCGTGTTGCAGCGAAGGCGGATTGAAGACATCACGAGGGGCAAACGAAACCGGAACAAAACGGAAAACACGGTTTATATCGAGCTTTGCTCCCGAGACCACTACTGGGTGCTTGCGACACTCTAGCGTTTCTCCACAGCGTTCGGGAGCATCCGTTCATCCGTCGCTCCAGGTGGAGGGCCCGCCTTGACCTCCGGGCCCAACTGCTGGACGCTTCCCGTGATCAAAAATAGGCTGGAACGATCCAGTGTTCGGGGGCTGGCCGTGTGGCACGGACGCGCGCATGTAGAGCATGTGACGATTTCGAGGGTCCTTTTATTTCTTGGGCAAAAGTCGTGATGGCTCGCCAATACTTGGTCGTTTATACTGTGATCTCCTCGGTTTCGCCTTTGAGCTGCATCACAAGAGCTGTGATCCCCTGAACTTCTTGGATCTCGGCAGTGTGTCGAACCGCGGCAATGTTCAACATCACCTCGAGCTCTGCCGTGGCTACCATCAGCTAGTGCGGTCTTAGCTTGACCCGAGGATCTTCCTAAACTTTCTTGGTGTAAAGCCGAGCTGCTGCAACTTCCTACGCATGGACTGGGCAGTCCTTGTCGAGCAAGTACGTTCTCAGCTGTTGTTTCTTTCAAAGCGCGAGTGCGCTGCTGGATTGTGAGCAGCCCCTTGACCATTGCCTGCGCTGTCTTCAACTTCCTGTCCCACATCATCATAAGCTCCTCTGGGTCCATCCTCCCAGTACCGTTTCAGACAAGTGCAACCGTTTAGTTTGATTAATTCCGTTCGGCTTTCATCAGCAAGGAGTCGAAGGGGTACACAGTCTAACCTATGCCGAAGATCAGGCCCCATATCCACAGTTATCAGCATAACCACGTCGTTCCCTGCCCGGAAGCCCGCCTATTCTCAAGAAGCTGGTTTTCCAGAGTACGCGCCAACTTCCAACATTTAGCTGCGTTTTCAATCTCACCTTGCATGCGGTCAAACATCGCTGCCAGGAGCTGCAAAGCTTGCCCACGATGAGCAACTAAAGACTGAAGCCACCGTACCTTCGAATCCGAAGCACCGAGCGAGAAGGAACGATGCCAACAAGACGCCAGCCCTTCGCCAGATTCATGCGCACGACATTTCAGACTTTGAGTACCATTTTAAGTCCATTACCTGAAACCGACACTTCAGCACAAGTCGCTTGAGGTGTGAAAGGGGCACGATCAGCAACCCAGGGCCGCCCCATACTGTACCAAGCTGCACGCGGTTGTAAAACACGCCGGCCGCGTATGGGCATTCTTTCCTGGTGTGTCAGAATCGCGCTCACAATTCTTCACGTCCGCGTCTCCCCACCAGTCTTGTGACCCGCCATGTTTGCGTGCACCCCCCGGCGGTTGCTAGCTGCCGATGGCCCCCCCTCTGTGAGCGCCGCGCGGCCCGCCCCGGCTTGTCTCACCTCCCGCTGCTCTCTTGTTGTCTCTCTTTTCCTCTCTCTCTCTCTCGTGTGCAATTTAGGTTCCTGCTTGTTAGCTGTAGCTGTGGACGGCGCGCGGCACTTCCGTTTGCGCTCGCGAGCAGAAAAGTTTCCCCACCAGCCCATTTACAAATTTAGCCCATGAGAGCTGACGGGGAAAGGTACGGAGAGGCACACATGGTGCAACAAAGCGGTCAACCAGGGTGAACAGGGACATCTCTGGAGCAATGGGATGACCTTGGATGGCCTCTTCGCTACATCTGTTGGGGCCCACGTGGGGGCGAGGGAAGGAGGAGAACGAGGAGGAGGAGGAGGAAGAAGAGGACGGCGACGACAGGGAAGAGGAGTGACAGAAGCAGGAACACGACGAGGGCAAGGACTCGGACGAGGAGAAGGACGACGAGGAGACGAGGATTGAGCCTTCAAAATCGCTTCTTCAAGCCCTATTGGTACTCTTTTTGGGGATCTTGGGATCCCCTTGGGCTTTTTTTGGGGGGTTCTGCACCCTCATGAAGCTCTTATGTGGACCTGTTGGGAGCCCTGGATGTTCTCTTGGGGCCATCTTGGAGGGCGTCGGCGAAACGAGAGAGGTTGTACCGGTTGGTCCCCCCCTGGGGTGATTAACACAAAATCACCGCTTGGGGCCCTAAGGGGACACTCTTGGGCCGATGATGGTCGCTGTGACGGCCGTCTTGTGGGCCTTTTGCCCCTCTTGGGGCTCTCTTGGGTTTTCTCGGGACCACAAGAGCGCACCGGAAACGAGAAGGCGAGAAGTCAACACTCACTGATGTTCTTTAGGTGTTTGGAAGATTTGGGCCTCTTCGGGGGTCCCGGGTGGGCTGCGAATGAACTTGGATCCGTCGTGTGGCCCTCGTCGGGCCTTTTGGAAGCATGTCGGAGGCTACCTCGAACCATCTCCGATTATCCTGAGCCGCCTTGGAGGCCATCTGGGGGCATCGGAGTCGGAGGCCCTCTTGGAGCGATTTTGGGCCATCTTGGGCGCCGTAACCGATCGCGGCACCTCCCCAACAACTAGGGAGGGTATGGGGCGGTAAACATTTCCGAAGGGAAGAGGGCTTTAGAAGAGGAAAGAAAGATATTGCTAGACCACCTTAGCCCAAAGGGTTGGTGGGAATAGGGGGCAGCTTGCCCCACAGCAGCAGGAATCATCCTTGTCATCTCCGAGAGAGCTGGCGTATTCATGATCGATTAATTTCCCACAAACCGAGGTGACACCTGCTGCTTGCAGTGACTATGTGCGCCACCTGCGGTCCACAACTGGTCATCGAATTGCTGGCTGGCATCAGAGATCCTTCCGGCAAGGACGGCACAGGTGAGCCCAACCGTGTGCGCCACATCATCCATGAGCGCATGGAGGAGGAGGAGGAGAAGGAGGAGGAGGACCCTCCTCGCTCTTCCAGACCCTCGCTCTTCCTTCTGCTGCTGCTGCTGCTGCTCCTCCTCGGCTGGGCTGGGCTGCCCCCCCGCGAGGCTGGAGCTGGACGCCGCATGGCACGCGCTGTGCGGGTGGCGGGAGCACAACTCCATGTGCCCGGGCTCTGGGAGCCTGTCGGCCCTGGCGAGCGGGGTGGAGGGGGGGGGGTGCGTGGCCCCGGGGGGCGGGCGCCCAGAAGCCTCCAGAGGAGAGGCATTCCATGATGGGCCTGTTTTCCGGCACCACCACCATGAGTTAAAGGGGGAGGGGCTCCTCCTCCTCCCGCTCCTCCTCCTCCTCCTCCTCCTCCTCCTCCTCCTCCTCCTCCTCCACCTCCCCCTCTCCTCCTCCTCCTCCTCTTCGTCCTCTTCCTCCTCCTCGTCCTCCTTCTCCCTCCCCCATCCAAGTTATGGTGGTAGTGGTGGTGGAAAAGCAAGCCCATCAATCCAGGCCCCCCAGCTTCTGAGAAGAAATCCCCCTGTACGGTGACATGCCCGACCCAAACTGGGATGGACTCGGCCGACCCGATCGCTGACCAGACCCTTTTTGGGTTCCTCTGGGCTTGGGGATGGACGGATGAGAGGGATGATGAGGCTTTTGAACAGGTCTTTCCAGGTTTCTACGGGCCCCCCAGGAGTTCCGGAGTCTCCTGAAGGCTCTATGGAGGTCTTTGGAAGGCGGAGATGAAATGAGGAGGGGTATGGGCCGTGCATTTCTGGATCCTTCGATTGTTGCTGCTCGATGTCCGCGCGCGGCATCGATCGATTGGCGACGCACCCAAAAGAGTGCCCCCCCCTCCTCCACGGATGAAGTATGTGCGTTCTGTTTGGTTATGCAGCCCGCAGCCTTTGGTGGACAACCTTGGACAACCTTAGGTGGTGGACGACCATGGGGGGATGTGGGTAGGCCTCTACGGAGATATGAGGACGCCGATGATTCATGACAATGCCGATGATCTCCGTGGTGGTGATGCGTTTGATGCTGATGCTGACGATGCGGATGATGGCGACGATGATGATGCTGATGATGGTGATGCTGATGATGATGATGCTGATGATGATGATGATGATGATGATGATGATGATGAGGATGAGGATGAGGATGAGGATGAGGATGAGGATGCGGATGATGCTGATGATGATGATGATGATGATACATGTGACGGTGATGGTGATGATGTTAATTATGATGATGATGCTGATGATGGTGATGCTGGTGATGGTGGTGGTGGTTATCGTGACGATGATGGTGCTGTTTGTGGCGATGGTAATCATGATGCTGCTGATGTTGGTCGTGGTGACGCTGCTATTGTTACGGATTATGATGCTGATGTTGTTGACGGTGATGGTGACGATGAGGTTGATGATGGTCGTGGTGATGCTACTGATGTTGATGATGTTGATGATGATGATGATGATGATGATGGTGGTGATGCTGGTGATGATGATGATGATGATGATGATGATGATGACGATGGCGTGCAGTAGTATGGCACCTCCCTTTCCACTCTGCCCTTGTGCCCCCCCCCCCGCCCCGCCGCGGTCCCCCGCGATTCCTGTATCCGCATCAGTTCCCCTTCCACTCTTTTTTATTACAACTGATGTCCTCTGTGGCGCACCAAGAGGCCAGTCGGAAGGGCGAGCCAGGCATTTCGCCTGATATCTCCCACCTCGTATGACCCTGCGGCTTAAACACTGGCAAATCGATGAGGGGCGGGTGGTGTTCAGAATGTGGCTCTCGCCTCAGCGCCATGCGCACTCGTCTTAAAACACAGGAGTTTCACGGATTCAGCGCGGGTTGTCTTCCAAACTCGGTTTTCGCTTCAGCGCCGCGGGCATTTTTTCAACATGTTGCAAGGTTTTCGCGGATTGAGGGCGTTTTTTTTTTGAACATGTGGCTCTCGCCTTCGCGCCGCGCACATTTGCGGATTCCATGGTTAACGTGCCAGATGTGGTGTTTTGGAGCGGAGCGGCTCTCGATTGCCAGGGCGCAATTTCGTTTACCCGCGGTGTTGGAGTTCCAGGAATAATGTTCTGGCCCGTTTCAGAACCGTCCAGACGTAGCAGTCAGGTTGACTAGTGGCGTGGCGTTGAAGGTCCGAGAATGGTGTTTTGGCACGCGTCAGGATCTTCAAACGGATGTCTCCCAATTGGGCGGTTCCCTCGGTGAAAATAAGTTGTTGTCGGGGCATATCAAGAGGGAGCTTGGGGGGAGGTTTTATTTCAACATCGTTGATGAGTCTTTGCTTTGCACTGGTCCTCCTTCTCATCCTGCTCTCCCTCATCGCAGTCATCATTCTCCCTGTGTGGGCACAGCGGCGTACTGCCAACAGAGCGCAGGGTCCAGTGGTAAGCGGTCCTCTCCCTCATTCCCCCCGCCCGCCCATTTTCTTTTGCGTAACTGCTGGTGCTACTCACACACGCACGCCCACACATACGCACGCACGCACACGTACACGAACACACGATCACACGAAGACACACACACACACCGATCCTGGGCCCAGGATCTAGCCAGACCTCAGATGTCATTGTTTTTCATAACAACTTGGGCCCCAAGAAGTCTGGAACCTTTCCCGGGGACCATTTTCTCATCTCGAGCCGTTCTTGTTATCGGCCCCTGGGCCCGGCAAAGACCTCCAGAGGCCAAGAATTGCGAAACACCTGCGCGTGGAGATCCCTGCGAGGCCTTGGAGGTCTCGGGGCAATGCCTTGGCCCCCACGGGCCGGCGCCTCCCCGTGGAGCAGCGGGCGCAGACACGCCCCCCGAGCCCGGGCCCGTGCTGCTCGCGGAGCTGTCCGTGGTGCGCGCGCTCATGCCCCAGGCGGCCGGGCCACGGTGTCCAAGGGGGGTGGGTCAAGCAGTGGCGAAGCGTCCAGGCTCCCCTATATAGCCGAACCTTCTGTGATTTCCACGGCACGTTCTTAGAAGATTTCTGGCTGGGGCTGTCCTGCTTCAACACATCAGGTTTATGTTCTAAGAACATTGTTTTTGTTCTGGCTGGGGCTGTCCTGTTTTAACACATCGGGTTTATGTTCTAAGAACATTGTTGTTGTTCTTAGAACATGTTTGGGTTCTAGAGCATTTTTTGGTTCTAAGAACATTGCGTGGTAGGACTATAGGAATGCCGGGACGGTCGGTCCCTGCTCAGGTGGGGGGGAGGGAGGCCGCCAGCCACGACACCGTGCCAGGGCCCGGGGGCCCCAGCGGTCATGGAGGTTCTCGCCAGCTTCAGCCGGCCCTCGGGCCGTCCAAGAGCGGCCCAGGATGCAGCAGCGGTCCCGGGGAGCTGGTGGAGACCTCCGGGAGTCGACGTTCCGGAAAAATCATGACGTCGGGGTCTGGGTCAGAGGCAACGTTGGGGGGATACATATCTATTTATATATATGTGTATGAATATATATATATATATAGATGTGTAAACATAAATATGTGTAACCATTAGGTCTCTTAGCTAGCACCAGCACTAATATCGTCGTTGTGTCACCACCAAGGGAAGATGCTCCCGAGATCGGAGATGGTGGTGATATCTGGGCTTCCTGGGTGACCCAGATGTTCCCACCAGAACCAGAATCTAGGATCATCTTCCCCCGGTGGATGCAGCCTCTCCTCCGTTGCTGTTGATGACCATTTCCAGGCCTCCAAGGATTGTCTCAGGGGGCATTCATCGAGCCCCAATCGCCCATGGATCGCCGACAGGGACCTGAGAGCCCCACGCGCCCAGGAACGCTCGGTTTCGCTAATGGGGGGCTATTTCCGATCTATCGGCGATGTATCGTCGATTCCAAGTCGATGCTTCCCCCCCTTGGCTGGTCCCCCCCTAACACTACCCCTCAAACACCTACTTGGGACGCGAGGGATGCAAACAGCGTGGCTGGCCAGGGCGGATCGGACCCAGATCCTCTCGGGTCGTGACAGGCATCACGACCGCAGGTTGTCGAACCCTTGCGGCCCCCTGGGCCCCCCCCCACTGGTCCCGATCTGTCAGGGAACGACTCGGGTCAAAAAGCCGGTTCTGGGCAATTCGTCGAGACCCCCAGGGATCCACGATGTGAGAACGAGGCACGACGTCGGAGATCTGGCTCCAGGGGGGACAAAAGTTGGTGGGGGGCTGGCGGAGGGGAGGCGTCAAGCGTCGCAGGCGATGTGCCCCCCCCCAATCCCTGAGCTCCGCCCGCAAAGTGTGGCCGCTCAGAGAAAGGGGGGGGGAGCCCCGGGATGCACCCCACGGGGGCTAGCCGGAACCACCCATGCCGAGGCTGGACGCCTCCACATCGTCTATCCCAGGGTTGGGCCCGACATTGTCAGTCCAGTCGACAGCCCGACGAAGCCTGGGGCAGGGGTCGACATACCCCCTGGGGATGGCGGTGGGGTCGAAGAAGGAGTAACGCGACCTCCCCTGGCGGCGCCTCCAGTGCGGCCCCTGGCGCGCCCCGCGCGCCAGGGAGAGGGGTCCAGCGCAGATCCAAGAAATCCGCGCGGAGCGCCAAAAGGTTCTGTTTATGGCGTCTGTTCTTCTTCTATGGGAGACATGAGATTATCCTTACCCGTAGGCGGCCGAAGGTGTCGTTCATTGCATCCGGATGCCATGGCTCATGCCCTTCATCCTCCCAACCAGCCCCTTCCTCCCAACACGATAGTTGTTCTCCTCATACCTGCGCGACGCACACAGCGGGGTCGTCTTCGCCGATATTGGCGCGGAAGCTGCCCGCGTAGGGTCCAGCGTGCCGCGCTGGCGGCCCGCGTAGGCTGCGGCGTCAGGTCGCTGTACCGTCTCGCGCAAGACCCGCTTTTGATCGTAGCTCACCTGGCCGCCGTGGCATCTCGGCCCCACCAGCCCACCCTCAGGAAGCGACCAGTGAGACCCGGTCCACGCCGGAGGAGGAGGAGGAGGAGGAGGAGGAGGAGGAGGAGGAGGAAGAAGGGGTATTGGGGAGAAGGGGGAGCAGGAGGAGAGGGAAAGGAGGAAGGAGGAGGAGGAGGAGGAGGAGGAAGACTAGGAGGAGGAGGAGGAGGAGGAGGAGGAGGACGATGAGGAGGAGGGGCAGGAGGAGGAGGAGGAGGAGGAGGAGGAGGAGGAGGAGGAGGAGGTGGGGACCAGCCCCGCGAAGCCCTCGGGAACAGGCACAGTACCCCCAGCAGGGTGGGCAAGGCGGCCAGCGGGGCCACGGCCATGCCCGTTCAACGATGTTCAAGTGCCTCGCGTATCGTTTTCAGGAAGACAATTTTCGGGTTGGGAGGATGGGGTTGGGAGAAATGAGGATATCCTTGACCGTAGGCAGCCGAAGGTATCGTTCATTGCATCTGGATGCTACTGCTCATACCCCTTCATCCTTCCAACCCTTTTCCTCCCAACGCGATAATGTTGATCCTCACGCTTGCTTCCAGAGCATCACCTTCTGGTTCGACACCGATGCCCCATCCCAGGAATCGGTGCATGCGGCAGGTTCGAGCCGCCCAGACGCGGCGGCAACGCCTGTGCGGCGTTCCAGGCTGCGGGCCCTCGAGAGGCTCGATGCGTGCCCCCAAACGCTAGAGACAGCAGTATGCGGCGAGAGGTCCACGCGAAAGATGGGGACCTCCGGAGACAGGAGATCTTAAAAGGCTGAACGTCAGAGTAGCTGCTCGTCCTGGAGAGCCCTCGTCTCCGCGGCTGGATTGTTCTTGACTTTCTGGCCAGAATGCACCTCAGGAGAGGTCCCGGGGGTCGCGGTACCAGCACCTTTGTGCCACCCCAGAACGGCTCACGTGGTGCCAGCAGCCAGGAGTCGACGTCGTCGCGGCACGGGAACTTGCCGCGCACCGGCTTCGAGCGTTGCCAGTCGTGGCCTTGGCGCAACGTGCGAGCGCACCCACCACGAGGCCCAGAGGGCCCTGGGAAGGGCCCCCACCCAGCGCGAGACAGGTTGGGGGCGCGTGCGAGGAGCGCCTTTTTGGCAACTCCTGGGTCTCGGGCGTCGAGGCGCCGGCCTGGGCCAGGAACGCCGCAGCACGAGGTGTCCGGCCGGCTTCTGTCTTGCTGCTCTCAGTTGTGCTGGTGGTGGCGTTTTTGCTGCTGCTGCTGCTGCTGGCGGCGATGCTGCTTCCTGTCGGGCTGGTCTCAGTGGAACTGATCGTTTCGCCCGTGTGGGTGACCGAAGCGTCGCGGGTCGTCCTGCACATCTCCGCCAGTCCGCAGAGCTGCGGTGCGAGGGGCGAGCAGCCGGCTCCCTGTGGGACAGGCTGTGCACGGGCTCTGCCCTGCTGAGGCGCCCTCGGCGCCCAGCGCAACGTCGAACAATTATTTGGTCCGTGGCGCTTGGCGCTGGAGTACCGGAGCAGCTCCCCCCCGCTGGCCTCGCCAGCGGGGGGACGGGGGCGCTCGTGCAGTCCAGCGCGAGTCGCCTGGCGTTGCTGGTTCCCGTCGTGCTCGTTCTGGTGGAACTGCTGGTCTGGGTAGTCGAAGGCCAGACTGGCAGATTGGATTGGGCCCCAAGGGCCAATCTGGCCTGGCCAAATTGGAGGATTTGGGTTATTCGCCAGACTGGATTCGCGTTGGCTCCCTCACCAGATTGCCCCCGTTTGCCGGATTGGGCCTGCCAGATTGGCGCCAGATTGGCTTCTACTACCCAGGCGCTCCCGGTTATCGCTGCCTGCGCGGCCCCCGCTGGCGCATAAAACGACGCGAAGATCGGGACAAAATCGGATCGGGATAATTCGAAATCTCTGAGAATCGGCGGGTTTGGAGGACGTATTGGGCGCCGCGGCCGCTCCAGAGCGTTCCGGAACGCTCTGAGAGCGCTCCAGAACGCTCTGGAGCGATTTATCCCGATCCATCCCTGTTTTCAGCGCGACCCCTTCCCTGGGAGAGACCGCCAATCGGGCTTGGGCCGAGCAGCAGTTGCTCCCTGGGTGCGGTTCGCCCTCTGCGGTTGGCGGGCGGGCTGCGCACTGCTGCTCTGGGGCGCCCTCGGTGCCCAGCGCAGAATCGAACGATCTGGGCCAGGACGTTTTGCGCTGGAGTGAGCGCCTCCGCCCCCGCTGGTCTGGCCTGCGGGGGGGTGGGGGCGCTCGCGCAGTCCAGCGCGAGTCGCCTGGCGTTGCTGGTTCCCGTCGTGCTCGTTCTGATGGAATTGCTGGCTGGCGGCGTTTGTGTTGCTGACATACATGCATATATAAACATATATATATATATATGTATATATATATATATAACAAAAACAGCAAAACAAACAAACATCGTGTTGATGACGGAGGTGGCTGATGGAGGTGTTTGTATTTGCGCGTCTGTCGTGCTGCTGGATCCCGTCGTGCGCGTCACGGCGGTGCTGCTCCTTACGCGTGTGCTGGTGCGTGTAATGCTGCTGCTTCCCGTCGTGCTGGTCACAATGGTGCTGCTGATTGCGTTTGCACATTGCTTACCGTCGCGTTGTCGCTCCCCGTCGTGTTCGTCACAGTGTTGATGTTGGTGACGCTGGTGCTGCTGCGTTTGGTGTTGCTGCTTACTGTCCATGTGGACGCAGGGCTGCTGCCGGTGGCGCTTGTGCTGCGTCGCGTAGTGCTGCTGTTCCACTTCCTGTAGTGGTCGTCATACTGGTGCTGCTAGTGTCGATGGCGCTGGTGCGCGTGGTGGTGGTGCTGTTTGCTGCCGTGCTGAACAAAGAGGTACTGTTGGTGTCGCTTGATTGGTTTACACTACTATTTCTGCTGCTGCTGGCGATGGTGTTGCTGCTGCTGCTGCGCATGATGCTGCTGTTTGTGTCGCTGCTCGTTTCAGTGGTGCTACTGGTTGCTCTAGAGCCAGTGCGCGTGTGCAGTGGGACACCTTGCCCACGATTGCGACGGTTGCTCGCGCTTCACCGGTGACCACATCCATTATATCGAGTTTGATTTGGACTTAGCCCAGGCCACCTCCATGGTTGCGAATGTTGCCTCCGCATCGCCGCAGGCCACATCCATGACTGCGAATTTTGCTTTGGCATCAGCGCTGGCCACATCAATACTTGCGAACGTCACTCTCGCTTTAATGCCAGCCACGTCCGTTATTGCGAACGTCACTTGTGCCTCAGCGCCAACCACATCCACGACTACGACTGCTGCTGGCGCCTGAGCGCAAGCCACATCCATGATTGCGAACGTTGCTCTCGCTTCAACGCTGGCCATATCCATGATTGGGAGTCTTGCTGTCGCCTGGACGCCGGCAATATCCACCATTGCGAATGTTGCTCTCGCCGCAGCGCTGGCCACATCCACGATTAAAACTGTTGCTCTCGTGGATGTGGCTAACCACACCCGCCATTACTAAAGATACTCTCGCCCTAACGCCAGCCACATCCACGATTGCGAAAGTTGCTCTCGCCGCGGCGCTGGCCACATCCATGATCGAGAAAGTTGCTCTCGCCGCAGCGCTGGCCACATCCATGGTTGCGAAAGTTGCTCTCGCTGCCACGCCAGCCAGGTTCTTCATTGGATACGAGGGGGATCAGTGATGCAGTTGACACTTTTGCACTGCATGCTGCTGCGTTGCCCCATTCTGGTCCAACCTTTGCTACAGCGTGCGCGCTTGACGCACTGGTGTCGCTGAGCCATTGGTCACGTTAGATCTCACGGGTCAGGTCAGCTTTGGCGCGGTGTCCACAGGGCCATGGCCAGGTCAGGTTGGGGGTTTGCCACGTTAGGGGCGGGGGGTGCCGCTCAGCTACATTCGAATCCGCTTACGTTGCTCAACCCTCTCTGGATGTATCGGCAGGGGGCTCCTCGAACGCACCCCGAGCGAGGCTGGATCCCCCCCCCCCCGCGCGTGTGCCTCAGAGCTGGGGCCAAGCCTTCTGGTCCAGTCGAAAATGTCTCAGGGAGTGGGGTCGCCATGCCCCTCCTTGCCCCCCCTCTCAAGGAAGGGAAAACCACCCGGGCCCGAGAATCGGCGTTCACTAAAACGGCACTGGGCGTTTACTAGACAGCCCTGCCCTGTTCGATTCCTTCTGTGGGTGCGTTTACTGGGCGGCTTCGCGTGCCGGGGTGCTTTTTGCGGGGGTCGATGTTCTGCCCTCTTTAAGCGAACAAGAAGTCACATAAACATTCAAATTCGGAGGTCCGCGCGGATTTCTCGGATCGGGCCCCAGCGCCGATCCGAGAAATCATCGCGGACCTCAGAGTTTTTATGTGACTTTTTGTTCCCCTACAGAGGGCAGAACATCGACCCCCGCAAAAAGCACCCCGGCACGCGAAGCCGCCCAGTAAACGCACCCACAGAAGGAACCGAACAGGGCAGGGCTGTCTAGTAAACGCCCCCGACGTCGTGGGCGCCCTCCCCGCCGCAAGGGGGGCCCCGCCAGGAGCCGCCGGCGTGCGCCCCCGCGGTCACGCGCGGGGCGCCGCGGCAGGGCGCCGCCGCCCGCCCGGCCCAGCGAGGGCGTGGCGTGGCGGGGGGGCGATCCGCGCCTCCTCCCCCTCCTCCGCCTCCGCCTCCGCCTCCTCCTCCTCTCCTCATCCTCCTCCTCCTCCTCCTCCTCCTCCTCCTCCTCCTCCTTCCCCTCCTCCCCCTCCTCCTCCTCCACCTCCTCCTCCGCCTCCTCCGCCTCCTCCCTCTCCTCCGCTGACGAGCTGGGGGCTGGGCCCCTCAGCAGCTTACCCGCCCGTGCCGAGCGACACGTCGCTCCAGACCACCATCCGACGCGTAGTCCTCGCGCACCACCTTTCATAACTAATACAGAACGGCCGCGGCCAGCCAGCCTAACGCGTTGCTGGCTGCTGCCCGCGCTCTCGTCGTGCGCTAGCCACATTATCCGCCTAGCGCACGGCGGTCGAGCCCCCTGAGGCTCAGGAGACACTCTCGCCTCAGGCTACCCGCACTCCTCCTCCTCCTCCTCCTCCTCCTTGTCCTCCTTCGTTCCCTCCTCCTCCTCCTCCTCCTCCTCCACATTCTCCTCCTCCTCCGCCTCCTCATCCTCCCCCTCATCCTGCCCCTCCCCCTCCCCCTCCCTCTCCTCCTCGCTCCTCCTCTTCCTCCTCCTCCTCCTGCGACGGCCTGTTGGCCCTGCCAATGAGGGCGAGGCCCTGTGCGGCAGGCTCGCGGGGAGGAGTGGGCGGAGGCTCTGCACAGGCAGATCGAGGATGGAGGCTACAAGGAAGCAGAGGAAGCGGAAGGGCCGGGAGGAGGAGAAGCAGCAGGAGGAGCAGGAGGAGATGGAGATGGAGGTTTTGCGCATTATAGCCAGCTGGAGGATGACGGTTGAGAAGGCAAGGAAGAGGAGGAGAAGGAGAAGGAGGAGGAGGAAGAGGATCAGGAGCTGGATGAAGATGAAGAGGGGGGGAGGCCTTGCGCAGCCAGCTCAAGGAATGCAGACCCTGCGACCACTTGCAGACCCTATCCTTGCGGGTCCGATTGAGCCTGGGGTGTCCGACTCCCTTGCGGAGGCTGATTTGGCTGCATACCTCCTTCGAGTGATGAACCCTGGCGGGTTTTCCAGAGGTCTAGCCTACGGGGGGAAGGTCCACATGCGGTTACCTAAAACGGGCGTGCGGGCAATCTTTGTATCCGTATCCTGTGCGTCTTAGACTTTCTCGGAAGGGGTGCCGCAAAGCCGAGGCGCACTGGATATGGATTAAAAGATCAAGTCCCTCGGCGCCATCATTTTATCCATAACCAGTGCGCCTCGTGTTTCTGGGGGAGAGAGCCCGAGACTCCAAGCTCGAATGAATATGGACAAAATTCTTGTCCGAAGGGGGAGCGACGAGAGATGCACCTTTGAATTCAACACCGGCGCTGCTAGATCTGGGAACATAGTCGGCCCAATCGAGCCTAGCTCCGCAGCATCCGGTCTAATCTGGCCTATCGTACTGTTCGCAACCGGCCGGTTTACTCCCAGGCCGGATCCACTCTGATTTGGCTGAATGACAAAGGCCTCCTACAGGAGTTGCCTCTCAAAAAGGGACACCCATGCAGGGGCCCCAGAGACGCAAGGTGCACGAAAGTTGTACGTTTCTGCACTTTGCATGGTCGGAGGGCCTTCCGTGTCCTGGAATTGGCAGTCTATTCTGGTATTCGACGTGGGTTCGACGCGGATTTGACGCTCATTCGACGAGGGTTCGGATTCGACGCGGATTCGACGCGTTCGACATTGATTAGACATGGATGCGACACAGATGGCCCGCTCGACGGGACAGACGAGGCCCCCCCGAAGATGCAAGATAACCCTTCTTCGCCCCCCCAGTGATCACCCCCCCAGTACGCCGCGCCCAGCCAGCAGCAGCAGCACCAGCCAGCCTCGCTGGGCTCCCGGCTGGAGATGCCCCCTGCGGGGCAGGGCGCGCTGGGCTTCGCGGAGCTGTCGAGCCAGGTGCCCGGGCGTCCGACGAAAGGATTTCTCCAACCGCCGGTATGCTCGTCGGTTTCGGTCTCTGGGGCGTGTTATCGGCCCCCCGCACCACAACCTCAGGACGTCTTTAGAGCCCCCCCAATGAAGTGTAATTGATTATTTGTCGGCGGCTTTTTTTTCACTGTTGATGTTCCACCACTATAGACACTAGATGTTTCACCGCGGCACCTTCCAGGAGCACTCTCATGGAAAGTCTTGGATCAGAAACTTGGCGATCAGAAGGTCATCCTGAAATTTCAATCCTGAGAAAGACTGTTGAAGTTCAGGCCCCGCGCGGGCCCTCAGAAGCTCTCTCCTCAGAAGCTTGATCCTCAGAAAGTCTGTTGAACCAGCAGCCACGACTACGACTGGAACTACGCTTACGACGACTGCTAGTTAGCGGTTGGGCCTCAGGAGCGCTCTCGTGGAAAATGTTGGTTCCGAAATTTGGCCCTCAGAAGCTTTATTCTGAAAGCATCATCCTGAAAAGGACTGTTGAAGTTCAGGCCCCGCGCGGGCCCTCTACAATCTTCATGTACAGCTTCGTCGTCGGCGACGCGGGCGCCGACGACGAATCTGTACATGTAGATTGTAGATGCACTTGCATACGTTGCAGCTCCCCTGCGAGCAAGGGGATATCATGCGACGGACCGCGAACCGACCTCGGCGACGCATGTGATAACAGGCCTCGGCGACGAATGCGATCTATATCGCAATATTGTTTTACACCTGTGCTTAAACATTCGCCGTCGCGCAGGGTAGCCCAGGGAACATCCGCCGAGAGAAAACAACACATGTTCCAGCAGGGAGAACAATCATGAGCAACGACTGGCGGGCAGCGTCGCGGGCCCCGACGCCGAAGATGCGCGTGAGTATTGAAAATGTAGTTCAGCGCGCGGTGCAATCTTCGGACAAACACGGCGAGATGAAGGACGGGGTGGCGAGCAACGCCCTTGGCAAATACCCTATCGATCAATATTGCAATCCCCTTACAACCGTGCTCGCGATTCCTCTGTCGTGCAGGGTTGCCCAAAGAGGATTCATTATTCAGTGGGGGAAAAACAAAACGACATGACCCTGCCCACCCAACAATAGGGACAAGTGCACGTGCCGCGCCGAAGGTGCGGACGTTGAAGATGCACATGTACTTCAAACATGTAGTGCAGGGGGCCTTTATCTCCGAGAGAAAGAGCTTTTCAGCATTATCAAGCACCTTGAACAGCCGTGGGAGAATAATCGGCGGGTCGCGCCGCGGGCGCTGACGCTGGGGATGCACATGTAGCACAGATGCGTAGTTACACAACCACACGGTGCAATCTTCTTACAAGCGCGACCAGATGAAGGAGCAGATGGCGAGCAGCGCCTTTGGCAACGAATCTGTGGATGTGTATCGCAATCCTTTTGACAAGCCTGCTCAAACATCCTCCGTCGCGCAGGGGTAGCCCAATCACATCATTCACTGGGAGAAAGAAACCCCCGACTTTATCCTGCGCGCACAGCAACAGACGGAACATAGTTCGCCCCGCCCGCGGTCTCGGCGCCAGGCCCCATGCTCAGGCTGCGTTGGCTTAGGCCTGAGGCTTCAGTTTTTAGCCGCAATGGCCACTCCTCATTGTGCTCTCACGCGCCAGGGTCTGGCCCACACGAGGGACCCCCGTCCTTTCTCTCCTAAAATTGCTTTTCCTCCTCATCCTCCTTCTCCTCGTTGTCCTCCTCCTCCCCCTCCAGGCGGCTCCTCGGTGAAGCCCCGCGGCCGTCGTGCCCGCGATCGAGGACGGCCCCCGGCGCCAGGAGAAGGCGCGACCAGCGAAGGCAGCCTGCCGTTGGAGCCCGCCGCTGGCCAAGACTCTATGCGGCGCGCGCCCCAGATGGAAAAGGGGCACCCCGTGGCGAGCAAGAGCCAGCGGCGCGCGCGGCGGAGGCTGCTCCTGGCGACCAGCCGCCAGGTCGCCTCGGACTTCGGCAGCCCGCCCGTCTCGCCCTTCGACGTCGCTTGGGTCGAGCGGCAGTTGCAGGGGCCAGCGAGCGAGAAGTGGGAGGCGAAGATAGAGGCTGACATCGCCAGCTACGGCGCCGGGACCAGGCGCGCGAGAAAGGGGAGACGAAGCTGGAGCCCGACTGCGAGAAGCGGGGGTCGAAGATGGAGCCCGACGCCATCTGCCACGGCGCCGAGACCAGGGCGCGCGCGGGGGGGGGGGGGCGCAAAGCTGGAGCCCGATCTCGCCGCGCAGGAGTTTCCCGGGGCGCTCAGCGAGACGCGCGAGAAGTAGGGGGCGAAGATAGAGCGCGACACCGTCAACTGCAGCACCGGCGCCAGGGCGCGCGAGAGGGGGAAGGCGAAGCTGGGGCCTGACGTCGCCAGACTGCAGTTTCGCGGCGCGAAACTCGGCGAGAAGTGGGAAGCGAATCTAGTGCCCGACATCATCAGCTACAGCGCTGGGATCAGGGCGCGCGAGAGGGGGGGGGTGATGCTGGTGCCCGATATCGCAGGGCTGAAATTTCCCACGACGCCCAGCAAGAAGTGCGAGAAGTGGGGGGCGACGATAGAGCCCGACATCATCAGCTACAGCGGTGGGATCTGGGCGCGCGAGATTGGGGGCGGCGAAACTGGGTGTGGGCGCGGGTCGGGGCCCCCTGGCAGTGGACCCAATGTCTCCATGGAAATCGCTCTCCAGCGGAACCGCCTCGTGGAGCGTGCTCGCATCACTTACGTGCGAATGTTTCTCGGCTTTCGGCCCTTGGCCATCGGTGCTACGTGGTCGATTGCAGTGGCAGTGCGTTGTGCAGACACCCCTTCCAACCAGGATGGCGCTCCCAGGACACCCGCTCTTTAGGTTAGTATGTCGAAAGGCCGCCATCGCAAACGGCCTCGGGCAACTATGTTGGCGTTGTGCGCTGTTTGCTCTGTGACCGTGTGTTTGTGCGAGGGTCGGACCTGCCTCTTGTTGGTCTGAGTGTTGCCTTCTTGCGTGCGCGCGCAGTGTGCCAGCGTTCCCGACTGTTGCCCGCTGTTTGCTCCAGGCTGTCCTGCGTGCGCGACTGTGGAGCGGGAGCTCCTCGCGCGTCTGCCCGACTCAATGCAGACAGGTGGCGGTGCTTTGCAGCGGTGCATGTAAACAAACAGCTCCTCCTCCTCTTCCCCCCCTCACTAGCAAGGGCTATGCAGGGTAGCCCTGAACCGCCCCAACATTATCCAGCCTGCCAAACAATAGAGGAATAATGATCTCCGCCGCGACGGAAAGTTTTTGGATCAGCGTTATCCACCGCCGAAAAACAGAGGGGGGACTACATCTAAAAACGTCCTGGGGTTGACAAAAGCGGGTATGGATATAGTCAGGGGTTGCCTGACCTCTGATGAAACAAACGAGTGAGGCAAGTAGACGCCTGTAGCAGCCAAACGCTTCCAAAGAGAAGCTGCTGAAAACGTCTTGAGGTTGACAAAAGCGGGTAGTGGTATAGTCAGGGGCTGCCTGACCTCTGAGCCCTAGGAGGCGCATCGGACCCCCTAGGGAAACGGTAAATTGCTCAGGGCGGACGCTATTGTCGCCCTCGCAGCGCACTGATTACCTGGGGCGCGAAACTACACAGGGCAGGCCAGGTGGGACGTATTGTCCCCTACCGGCAAAATCATGCTACATAGGAAGTGCAGTTCACAAGAGTAAACTTGTTCAACCATTTGCTCCTTTCGTGAAATGTTCACAAGGCCTGTTGGAGCCGCCGCGGCCTATGCTTCACAAGAGCGCACCTCGTGAAATGTTGCCTAGCCACGTCGCAGAGAGAAAGGAGACAAAGATGGTCCCCGCCTCAAGACAAAATGTTAACGAGGACTATACAACGAGTCAGCTGCAAAGACGAGAAAGGTGATCCCTAATTGCACAAGGAAGTTCGAAAGGCATGCAAGTCAGTAGACGAGCGTGTTGACGTCGATTTGCGCATCACGAATTCGTTGCCGATGACGCCGCCGGAGAACATAACACTACAGAGCAGACCTGAGCAGCGCAAGCCTGGGACACGATCCACAGACCAGGGTGTCTCAGTGGGTCTCCCACCCCCGCACTGAGATGGTCTACGCCCTCAGTGGGTCTCTCACCCCCGCACTGAGACGTCCGCCAGGCCTCGAAGTGTGGAGCGCCGAAACGCCGAGTCCATCCAGGCAGACGTGAACCTTGGCCCTGGTGCCAACGAGTGCACTGCAACATCCACACAATAGCGTCAAGCTCACCAGAAGCAAACGCCAGCGGTCCCAGCGCAGTGGCTGGGTCGACACCGACCGTGAATCAGCATCTCCCTCATGTCCCCCAGTCAAGAGGGTCTGTAGACGCGACCGTATTGCCTGCGTGACCTCTCACATCCGCAGACATAGCCGATCGCCCCGGCCGCATGAGGTACACGGCGTAGGGGGGTAAGGCGCTCTCACCGCCCGCCCCCCGGTTGACAAAAGCGGACCCAGGGGGAATGAGTGCCCCAGGGGGGGAAGCGGTCGTGATTTTTGTGGCTGCGGATTGCGGAAAAAAAACGTCGGCTGATTTCAAGGTGTGTTCAGAAGAGGGCGAGTTGGGACAACGGTAGTTGGCCTTCCCTGAGATCAGGGCGTTGTTTAATTGTTTCGCGACGGGCGCTTGCGGTCGCAGACCATCGGAGATTCCCGGTCGCGATTTCTTGTGACACTGCGTTATCACAACGACGGATCTCAGGGTTCGGGGGGATTGAGGACCCTGGCAACGGTCCCGGGGCTGTTTTTGAGATGCCGTTTTGTCAGCTCGCCCTGGTTTGGGGTGCCGGAAATTGGAACATCTACATGCCAGAGGCGGGTTGTTTTTTCAATCCCAGGACTTTCTTGAGGGTCGGGGATGAAGTCGGGGCGGTGTGGGGTACCGTTCCCTCGGGGAAGCAAGAAAAAATGTATACGCCAGGATTCCGCATGCACCAGGATCCGCTTTTCTGTGCAATTTTCAGTGCATGACCGGAGAAAGCTTCAGTGCACAGTGGAAGCCAATGCCAAGAATCACTCCGCTTGCCTCTAGGGTGCCCTTTATTTCCTGGGTCTCGATGGTTGTGTGCCATGGAACGCGTGGCGCTCCCACACCAGAAATCAAGGTACGTTCTGGGTTATCAGGATGAGGTTTCTTGGGGAAGGTTTCTTTTGGTCGGTTCTCTACTTTACAGAGTTTCGTAGTGGATCGTAGAGCACAGTCTCGTGGAGCGACGGAGAGAAGTTGCACGGCTGAGAGTTCGCCTGAGGGAGCGCCGTTGCCGTGAGGACGCACGAGTAAATAATTCGGGCCAGTTTAAGTATGACGCTCCGCTTGCGTGGCGATGGATCCTGGCAGCGCCTCTCGCCACCCACCAAACCACCCCAATCCAAGCCGAACCCCCCAATGTGCCCTACATTTCTAGTTGGGGGGGGGGTCGGGGAACATTGACAAATCACGTGTGGAACCCGTACACCCCCCCAATCCGAAATCCGGTCTTCGGGTGAGGTTGAGGTGGTCTGGTAGGTAGTTAGTCAGTCTCAGACTTCTGAGCTTGTTTCCCCTAAGCTGTGCGACGTGCAGAACCACCTCGGCGGCGTCCTGGAGGAACTGCGGCGCGAGAAAGAGGAGGGTCGGGCTCTCGCCGCCGCCCTGGACACGGGCCACCTGCTGCTACTGTCCGGGGGCGCCGACGGGTCAAGGCTTCCAGGGCAACGCGGGCTTCCAGCGGGGAGGCCTCCAGCCCTGACCTTCCAGGAGGGCTCGAACATGGCACCCGGAGCTAGAGACCCACATTCCAGTCGAGGTGTAAGCAGTCCAGGTCGGTCTGTAGGTGTGGAGTGGCATTCGTTAGCGCTCGGGAAGGTCAGGGAGGCCCCCCCGTTTCAACGTCCAAACCAAAGGAGGGATGGTGGAGGGCAGCGTCGGAAGCCCCCCCCCGTTTGAAAGGGAAGCCCGGGCTGATCCCGGGAGCCCTTTGGAAGGAGGAGGGGGGCCTCCTCCGCTCCTTCTCCTTCTCCGTCTCTTTCCCTCCTCCTCGAGGTCCTCAGGCTTCCGTCCGATGTTGTCAAGGTGGATTGCATGCTGCTGGAGGTGAGTGGATCGCAGGTGCCATGCTGCGTGCTATCCTGTCTGCTCGAGGCTGGTTAGACTGGCATTCGCAGCGTTGCGCTCTGGGGCGGCCTCATTTTCCATGGAGCTGCGACCATTCCAGGGAGCACAGCCCGATTCATGCAGTCCCTACTGAACTGCAACTCCGCCTCGGAGGATCAGTTACCTCCAACATTCGTGCCAGCAGTGCATGAGACGAAAGTAGGTGCGGGCAGGCCACCTGCAATCGTGGCCAGTCAATCGCTGCTTCGCGTGTACCATGTAGGTCGACTCCCTTGTGGTCCGCCCTTTGACCCCCTCGTTCGTCTCTCCCCATCCCTCTTCGCGCTCTCCTCGCGCCTTCTTCTGCTCCCCATGTTCCATTCCTGCCTGCTTCCCTGTCCTGCTCGACTCGCTCTCCTCGCCCTGTCCTCTTCCCCCCCCTCCCGCTTCTGCCGTGCCCCCCTCCGCCCTGCCCCCATCCCCCCCTCGTCCTTGCAGCTGCCACGCCTCCTTCCCGCTGTGGCCCGCCTGGCGCCTGACGGCGTTCAGCAGGCCCTTGGAGGGTCTGGGGCTTGGACCCCCCCCCCTTCCAAGGCAAGCCTCCTCCTCCTCCTCCTTCTCCTCCTCTTCTTTCCCTTCTCCTTCCACATGCCGTCCCGCTTCCTCCCTCCGCGAGGCCCCCCCTCTTCTGTCGAGCACTCCTGGTGCCGGCTGTTCTTTGCCAGGCCGTTGAATTCACTGAGCTTCCAGCGTGGCTGCGAGGCCCGTCATTATTTTGAGATCTTTGGCCCCCTCGGGCACGGAGAGTCAGGATGCGCCTCACTCTTGTGCCTGCTTGGACTAGCCACTGGCACTGGGTAAGTCTTCGCTCCGCACAGGGTTGCCCGGTGTGCGCTGTGCCTCGCTTGGTGCCATGGGAATTGCTTGTGTGGAATATCGCTGGCCGCTTGGGCCTTGGGGGATATGCGCACGCAGCGTGCTAATTCTGCTGCCTCTCCTCCTCCCTCGTTCCTCCCTCCTGTTTATCCCCCTCCCTCCCACGTGCTATTCTGTGTGATGTTAGTTTAGCAGTTGTTCAGGCCAGTTGGGTTTGTCCACACATGCACCGTGCTATATGATAGGAATTGGGGGCATTTTCGTGTAAGCCCTCCCCTCCTCCCTCTCTTCTTCATCCTCCTCGTCTTCCTCCTCCTCCTCCTCCTCCTCCCCCTTCTCCCCTTCCGCCTCTCCTCGTCTTCGTTTCACGGTAGCCTGCGCATCATTTGGGGAAGCAGGTTATCGGCTACGCAGCCGCGACAGATGGGGATAACTCGACCAGCAGGTCCCAGGCCACGCCAGCTTGGAGAGGGATCGGTTAAACGATGCTCAGTTTACCTCCTCCTGCTTCTCCTCGAGCCGACTGTCAGGGAGCGCGTTGTCGACGCGCGTCCCGCGGGCTCGGAGGAGCAATGCTTTATGGTGTAAAGTACCGCGAGGGTCGTTCCGAGTTTCATGATGCAGATTTCGGTTGGCTCTGCAGCTGAGGGCGGATGCAGAGCAGGTCCTGCTTGGTGGAGTCCTGCTCCCATCAGTAGGGGAGCCGGCAGTGTTCATCTTTCTCGGAGTCTAAGAGAAAAAAATACCCTGTGACGTACCCGACCCATTTGCACCAAGTGGCAGGAGGAGCTGGAGCAGGACAATGGCGGTGCAGGCGCCGATATCTTGTGCAAGCTTGACGGGCGTGCGCTCCCGTGGCACGATTCGAAGGACAGCGACACAAGGACGAGGAGAGAAAGAAACACACAGACACAATGAATCGTCGATCCCCAAGAAAATATGCGACAATATGGGAAGTGGGGGGGAAGACAAAAACATAGAAACTATGGGAAAATATGGGGAACATGTTTATTTGTGGGTATTTATTTGTGTGTTCTGGGGCCCCGTTAACAAGGACGAGGAGAGAGGGCCCAGGCTTGAGGAGGGCATGGGAGCGGGCACGGAAGGGCAGGAAGAGGACGCGCGGGGAGGAGGGGGGGGCGAACCGTCAGCGCGGCAGCAGCAGAGGGAAGGTGGCAGGGGGCAGAGGACGACGACGCAAGCGACGGGAGGAGATCGGAGAGTGCTGCGTGTGTCGGCAGTGCGCTAAAGTGCAGCGCTGCCTGCGCCATGGCGCTGCGGCACTCGACGTATCCTTCGTGCAAGAAGCAAGCGAGGCCCAGCTCGCCCGCCAGTGTCCCTGCTTCCGTCCTACACTTTTTCAGTGAGGGAGCTAAACGCTCGAAGGCGCGCCGCCAGGTCTGCGGGCGGCGCGCGACAGCGCCCCACTGAACCCCCAGCAGCCTTCGAAAGTGGCGAGGGCGTATGGCTCCAGAGACGCGAATATGGCGTAAGTTATAAGAGTTTACGGCTTCGGGGACGCGAATGTTGAGTGATTTACGGGCGTTTGTGGCTTCGGGGACGCAGGTGCGGCATCATCTACGAAGGTTTATGGCTTCGGGGGCACGAACACGGTTAATTTTGCAAGGGTGTATGGCTTCGGGGACGCGGACATTGACTAATTCATAGGGGTTGTATGGCTTCGGGGACGCGAATATAGTGTAATTTGCGACGGTGCATGGCCTCGGGGGCGCGAATTCTAAGTATTGTTACGTGTCCCACGCCCCCCCCAGGAATTCAGGGCACGCGACTCGGGCGTGGTGATCTGGAGGCTTTTCGGCGTCCCCCCTTCGCGCGGTCTACAACAAGGAACAGTAAGCAGCAGAGAGCACCACTGTAACACTGGAAACTGGAAACTGGAACTGGCGCAGGGAACAGCAAACCCTCGTCCTACAGCCTGGTGGCCCACAAGAGGGCCGGCGGATTTAGCTGGAGGCAGCCCCCGTTGGGAAGCAACCGCTTGAAACATCAGAATTGTGCCAGAACGCCGCGTTTGTGATTTCAATGGCGCGAATCACCGGTCTTTTCGTGTCTTGACGACCCTGAATCGTGCCAGAAAATTGTTCCCAGGATGTGAACACAACGAATCAACGTAATTGTTACGCCCTGACAGTTCGACAACGCGCCAGAACAGCATATCTCGCTAACCAGGATCATATTCGCAGTAGCTGTAAGTTTCGAAGACGAATGCGCGCGGCGCCCAGGCGAGGGCCACGTTTTGAAACAGAAACGCCCTTCCATCCGTGAAACGCTTGCAGCTTCTTACGACGAGTGTGCGCGGCGGCAAGTCGAACACCACGTTTTGGAACCGGCCCGCCCTCCATCCGCAGAACAAAAGTTCCACTTTCTGAAGAACGAGCGTGCGCGTTTTGGAACCGGCCCGCCCTCCATCCGCAGAACACGCGTGCCACTCTGTGAAGAACGAGCGTGCGCGCCGCCGTGGTCAGAGCCACGCGTTGCAAATTCCTCCGCCCCCCCCACGAGCGAAGCGTCTGCAGTCTCCTGAGAGCAGTGCCCGCGGCGCTCGGGCGAGAGCCACACGGCGAGCCCGAGGCCAGCCGCCGTGCGTCGCGCGCCCGCACGAGTCTCAGCCATGGCTGCGCGCGGCGCGGAGGCCAGGGCCACGGCTCGAAGAGACGGCCCCGCCTCCCATGCGGGAAGCTGCGGCAGCATCTGGGTCTCCAGATTCACGAGCGGCAAGGCATGTTCGAGCGAAGCGCTCGGCGCGCCCTCTGGACGAGCCTCGGGGTGCGACAGGGAGGGTTTGCGGGTGAGGAAAACGGAAGGGAGGGGGACGAGGAGGAGGAGGATGGCGAGCAGAAGGGCCAGAGGCAAGTGGGGTGCCCCTCGGGGTCGATTCGCATGTTTTCCGACAGCTTCTGGGAAGCTGTTTGGGGTGTCTATCGGCCCCCCCAGGAAGCCAAACTATGGCCCAAACCCTGGCAACAAATCATGATTTTGGTATTCTCGCCAAGGCCTCTTGGGGCTTCTTGGGGGCCTCTTGGGGCCTTTTGGGGCCTTTTTCGGAGCCTTTAAGGGGCCTCTTGGAGGCCTCTTGGGGCCTGTTTGGGCGTTGTTCGGAGCTTTTTAGGGGCCTCCTGGGGGCCTCCTGGGGCCCCTGGGCACCTCCTTGGGGCCGTCCTGGGGCACCCTGGGGAGCCTCGGGGGCCATCTTGGGGCCATCTCAGATGTGATCGGTCAGAGAAGGGGGGCCAGCATAGAGCCATTACTTGTAGTAAAATCGATGACTTTGGCTTCCTCGCCAAGGCCATTTGGGACGCTCTGCCTGCTCGCGGAACGCCCCGTCCAGACCCAGGGGGAGGGGGAGGGGGAGGGGTCAAGCTAGGTGCGCTCGCGTCATATCTGACGTCCTACCCCTCCCTCCCATCCCTTACCATGGCGCTGATTTTCTCTATCCGCGGACGCGTGTCGTAGCGGACCTGTGGCTCCGCGCGCGCGTGCGTAGTGGGTGGTGGTGCACGTGCGTGCGTGCGTGCGTGCGTGTGGTGTCGTGGTGGTGGTGGTGGTGGTGGTGGTGGTGGTGGTGGTGGTGGTGGTGGTGGTGGTGATGGTGGTGGTGGTGGTGCTGGTGGTGGTGGTGCTGGTGGTGGTGGTGTGGTACTGGTGCTGGTGCTGGTGCTGGGTGGTGGTGGTGGTGGTGGTGGTGGTGGTGGTGGCGGTGCGGCGCGGTGGTGGCGGGCGGATGGGCGCGCGAGAAAAAGGCCCGCGCTGGGGCGAGAACGCCATCCTGAACGATGGAGGCCAAACACCGATCCGAAAATGAGGCCCGCGCTGCAACGGGAGCACGATTCGGAACGATTCGGGAGCAGAAATGAGGCCGGCGCCTTAACGAGAGCATCATTTTGGGAAAAAATGACGCCGGCGCCTCAGCGAGAGTCGTTTCCCGGGATTTCCCGGGCATCCTGTGTGTAAAAAAACAATACGCGGAGGGTGCGCGGCCATCACCCGGACGCCATCAGAGGAAGAGGGAGAGTATATTCAGATTGAGTAATTGTAAATCCTTCCGCGAAGGGGGAGGTGGGCGGTTGGAAGAAGAGGCGCGCTAAACCATTCACGCCCTGAAAGGCTGGTGAGATTCGGGGTTCCGAGATGCTGCGCGGTTGCAACCCCGGTTCTTTGAAGATGTGCGCGGGGTGGCATATCTCCATTCGCCTGGGACATTATTGTATTTGGGGCTCCCAGAACATGTGCGCGAGTTCGTCCGGCGCGGTTCGCTTGAGACATCCATGCAGCTTCAGGACAGAAGCACACACAATGTCACACAATGGTAACTTCTTGGAGGGGGAAACAGGCCTCGGAGGAAACGAGCGAATATTCATGCCGCAGTCATCCGTCGCTGCCCCCACCCAATGCTCAATGTTGGCGGTGGGTTGAACGAGCTGCATTTCGACCGCAGTCTTCCCAGCGCGTGCCAACTTTGCTTTTGGGGGAGCGGGGGGGTAGTGTCCACTACTTGTTTCCGTCGACTGAGTGAACCTTCGACCTGTCCACACTCTCCGTGTCGTTCCGCCCGCCCTCGGCGAAGCCCGCCCGCGCTTAGCGGCCCCGGTAAACGCTTGCAGGGCCCAGAAACGGAGACAGTTTCTGCCCCGGCCCCAAGAATATACCCCACCACCACCACGTCGATTCCTCCTCCCTCCTCCTTACCCTCCTCTTCCACTCATCTTTCCTGAGAGAGGCATGGGGTGAGGGAGGTGGTGGTGGTGTATATGTTTGGGCCCGGTATCCTTTGCCTGACCCCGTCCCCCCTCCCCCCCCCCCCTCGAAAGCATGAACTGTGCTCTGGGCGGGGCGTCGGTGAGCAAGGGGATCCTTCTTCAGCTCAAGCCATCCAGAGACGGATCCGAACGGGGGGACACCAAAAACGAGTGTGTCAGCACAGCTGCTCCGTTCTTTCCGTTCCTTCTCACTCTCGGCTCCGAGATGCCGCGCCCATTTCCCATTGGGCCTTGTGCTCTCGGCTCCGAGATGCCGCGCCCATTTCCCATTTGCCACTCTCGGCTCCGAGATGCCGCGCCGATTTGTTGTTGGGCATTGTGCCCATTCTTTCCGTGCCCTTTTCGGGCGTCCAAAGGCGAGGGGCCAGACCCGAAGGAGCTGTCTGCAGCCACCTCTGTCGTCGCAGAGTGCTCCGGGCAGGGTGCGGGTGCCCCCGGGCCCAGAGGGGGAGGTGCCCAGCGCCGAGGCTCGGGCACGGGCTCTCTGGGGAGCCGCAGGGGGCGGGTCGGGGGGGGGGCCGTGCTGGGACAGCTCGTGGACGTGCCGTGCTGGGACAGCGGGGGGGGGGCCGTGCTGGGACAGCGGGAGCGCGGCGAGCATGGAAGGGGCGGGACGGGGGAGGAGAGGGGGGGGTGGAGGACAGCGGAGTGCTGGAGGAGGGGAGGGGAGGGGGAGGAGACCAGGATGGGGCAGGAGGGAGAGGGGGAGGAGGGCAGGATGGGGGGAGGAGAGGGGGAGGAGGGCAGTGAAAGACTGGAGCAGGGGGACGGGACCAGGCCCAGGCGCTGTTTGTTCGAGGGCATCCCTGGCGAGGGTGCCTCCTGGAAACATCACTTCGAGAGCGAGGGCATCCCTGGCCTGGCGGAGGAAGTGGAGAAGGATGCGCAGGAGGAGGAGGAGGAGAAGGAGGATGAAGAGGAGGAACAGAAGGAGCAGGAGGAGCAAGAGGATAAGGATGAGTAGGGGGAGAAGAAAAAGGAAGGGT